CGTCGTGACGCATTACATAAAAATAGGTTAATCCGTTACATACTGTCGGCCGATGGACAGGGGCTAGACTGGCATTTTTTTCACGGGACGATAGCCAGTGTAACGGGCTATTTCCTTCACGAACGTTACGGGATTTTATGGGTTAACGGGAAACGAACGTGTACGGCACCCTAAATTCTTACTAGGATGCTCTGCGAGTCGCAGAGGAGAACATATGGATAAAATGGGGTTTTAGGATGCGTGAGAGATTTGGTTGACGTGAAATGGAAAGATATTTTTCGTGGGCTTCTGTTTGTTAATTTGTCTTACTCAGTATTCCTTATAGCCTGATGATATTGTTTTAGAAGTAATTGATTGTAACTTGTTTTCAAAGTTATCATTAGTAAGTTTATATAAATTGGATGATTATACATTAGTCATACCAAGATTGAATTTACTGCAATGTATATTTAACGAAGATTTCATTAAACTGTAACTCAATGAAGTCATGAACGAATAATTATGATCTTAAATAATTCAAGAGCAGATATATTAACGCCAGTCGAGAATTTAAGAAATAAAATTAAGCGTGGAAACAACCTTGCCGGCACCTCTTTATTCTATTATAACTTTTTAACGTTTCGGCCAGTAATACTGGTCCTCTTCAGGTAACGAACTTACGTGAGTACCCGCAAATATAAGGTTCGTCGAAATTTAACACGTGAAATTATGTCAAACGTTAAAAACATCGCAGTACATTATGTCTAGTCGTCGGCGTTAGAACACAAAATGATCTTAAATGTATCTTCATAAATTATTTTATCGTATCAAAGGTATTAAATTTGTGAGGAATAAGAAAATAGAGTGACACACAAAGTAGAAACTTAGAGAAAGTAAAATTGATTAGCCTAACAGAAACATATTTCGCAAAAATGGAAATATGTTTGGGAAAATCTCTTTGAGAAAGAAAGTCTGCTTGTGATAAGAAAATATTTCTATACTGAAAAAAAGCGTGTATCGCCATCCACGATATAAAAAGAAGGAAAACATAGCGGAAAGGAGGGTATCCCTCAATTTTTCCGCATCATAGGACGATAACAGGTATTCTTGCTGCTATAACCGTCGCGAGAAAAAGAAAGATCGGAAACGAGGAAGATTTGTTGTTCTAACTTTGAACTGATCCCGCACGTGTATCAAACTTCGGCTCGATCGGGCATTTCGTGCTCACCGAAACAAAATGTCGAATTTCGATCGTCTCTGTCGAGCCTGTCTTCATTTTTGCCGCGAAATTTCGTTTTAATCGCCCCGAAAAGTGCGCGATATTTCCGCTACGGCGAAACTATGCATTTTTGACGAACGGTAATAGGATCTATGACGATATCTACGATGTCAATGGTACACTGATGACGGTTGATTACTTTCATCTCTGGTGTTTGTTTCTCACGAAATAACTTAATTGTGAAAGCTTTGTGAATATGGTTTCTAGACACGCATCGGATAGTGTTTAAAGAGAATAAAATATATCAATGCTGTGAAAATGGGAAAAATTTAACAGGAACATCAATCGTGGAAGACAGATGCATTCTCGGTTCGGATTGAATAATAAAAAAACAATACTATACTTTCAACGTTTACATAAAATGAAACTTATCATCATATCTACAATGGAATAAAATTGGGCTAATGAAAAAAGCGGTTTGTAAATTTATTTCATTTATTTTTATTGAAATAATTACTTAAATTTATTAAATTTATTCATTTACTTTTAAATTTATTGGATGAAAGTTGAAAGAATTATCCATTTATATACATTTATATACATTTACTCAAAACAGAGCGAGATAAAAGACTGATGCGTTGTCAACAGAACGGAAGCCAGTCGCTTTTATTCTTTATTATTCAATTTGCGAAAACGCGCATCGAGAAATACGGCAATCGCTTGCCGAAAAGCGCAATCGTTATAACGCAATGATGACAAATCGTTGGATGCAAACGAAAAAACAATTAATCCTGTCGGTGTAAATAAATGTACTCGTAGTTCTAGATGTGCTGTCATGCTATTACTTCCGTCATTTCGGACATGGACGTTCACTTACTCGTTTACGGCAAAGATGCGGCCATTAAGATTCTCGCGTTCAGCTTTCTCGTTTAAGGGGCCACATAGACCTAGAACGAGTAAAAAGCGAAAGTTTCAAGAATTTTTTTCATGTACTAATTTTTTCTTTAATTATAAAATGTCTTTGGAAATACGTAATTTTAGGAACGTTTAAGAAATAAATTTCTTTAAAAATTCGTTGTCGTCTGTACGTTACGGCCTGGTGGAACGAGAGAGATTCCAAAAATATTCTTAGTTCTGGGTTCTGTCTCTCGATATATCGACCGTAATTGATGCATGATTTATCTAGGACTCTAGAAAGCCTTAGTCGTAATTTATTATGTAAACACGCATAGGTTGTCGGCTCGTTACGTGCCACTATGGCGGTGGTGAGTGGTTGTAGAAAGGTACAAGAGACCCTTTCGCTTACGAACTTAAACGGGTTTGCCGTACCCCAATTAACGCAGCGCCACAATGGCCCATCGTCTCGTTTGGCTATTAACGAGCAAAAGAGTCGACGAATACGCGTGTTGGTCGATGGTAGATCAATACGTGATGTTAAATCAACGGGGACCGCGGCTTGAATCTAATTACTCAATCTAACTTGAAATTAGGCGTGAATTATAGACCTTCAAGGTAGGCACTTATCTTGCTAGGTAAAACTTTTGATTCGCGTTTAAGTTGTAGACCGATTGCTCTGTTTCGACGAAACGCATGAAATTAATACGATTAATCGCCTATCCCGAGTCGAATATTTTGGCCTCAGTTTAGCTTTGTATAATTTTTCAATTGGGAGCAACAAGGTCTTTGTGTCGGAGAAAATATAGGTTTTGGAGTTTTGACCTCAGATGGGCCTGAAAAGGGTTGCTATTTACCTTTTAGCAGTGAAGAGACCAATGAGAGTGTAATCAACAGAGGTTCAGTAGATCCTCTTCGACCTAAGAGGTTTCAAAGAGGGTGATATACTTTATTATTCGTACATTCTCTTTGAGGGAGAGAATGAAGTTAAACACAATTTTTTTTACTCATCTGGGCCTCAACTTGGAGTTTCAAATCGATTCCGAGGTCTAAATGAAGATAGAATGGAATAAGTGAGGCCCATTCCGGGACCAAATATTCGACTCGGGTTCCAGTTAATATTCATCCACGTGTTTCCTCGATAATCGCAATTTCCCTCGACGTCATCCGTACTTGTATCGGCGAGTAATTAAGTTTAAAAAAATCTCTGTGGTATAAATTATAAATGAAAATACGCCACAATTCGAGAAACGAGCTAGAGTTACTCATAGTTTATTGACAACGTGTCGTAACGCTATCTAATCGATATTCTCAAAGCTCGATTACTCGGATGTATCATCTTTCACGTGAAAATAACGTAAAACAAGCAATTAACGAAAATTAGATTTATGCTTGTCTGCCAGATACTCTCAATTTTTATTTACCCACGCGATCTGTTATTGTCAAAACGCTACTGCTTCGAAATTATCCGAAATGAACATAATGCGAGGCGACTCGTTGCTGCTCCAGTACTACACCCGATGTCGAAAATCCCAGTTCGCCATTTATAATCACCACTGTGCGCACGTATGCACGCACGCGTGGCAGAAACAACGAATGAAAAAAGATTACCGAGCTAAATGAGATTAATTATCCGATGGACGGCGAGCGCGAGCGTATATCGCGCGTCACTCACCACCGTGAGAGATGCATCGCGTGCCTAATTGAGCATCGAGAACATCGTTCGAACGGCCGAGCGCGCTTGATGTATTAATCGCATTAAGACACGCGGCGGTGATCGGCCGTCGTTATTATGTTCGAGTTACGTTGAGCGCGCAACACGTAGCGGTCGCGATTTTATTACGATGCTCGCGCGTCACCGGCGCGTCACGCGACTCGACGGTTTTTCGTTTGACTCGCGCGATATCACCTCGCGCGCGGTGAGTCGTTGTCAGTCAATTTCGCCGCGCGTCTCGTTCCGCCGCGAAGCGACGACACTCAGGATCGCGTTTATCCGATCGAGACTCGCAATAAAATTCGCGAACGCACGTCGGAAATGTTAAATCGAGCAACGCGCTCTCGTCGCGGTACGTCAAATCGGCGTCAAGTTGGCTCGCGCCAAGTACGATCGCACGAAGCGTTTCGCTAACCGGTGCGGCGGTGCGCGCGCGCGCGCGCTCCTCCAACACGAACCGACGTTTCTAATCGACGACGCGCCGCTTATCGCGTTTCGCCATTTCGCGTTGCACGCTCGCCGAGACACGTCGGGGGTGAAATGAAGTATAAGATGTCAATTAGATGGCGATTAACGGTATCCGTTCCGCACATAGCTGTCGGAATTTCTCCAGCGATCCTCGCCAAGTTTGGAACGTGACGCCGCCGCGCCGCCGCCGGCGCTTTGGTATGTAGTTGACGCGATCCGAATTTTTCATGCGCGGAAACGTGTATTGAACGCGCGTAACGAACGTGGACGTTGGCATACGCCCAGAGGCGAACAACCGTTGCGTTTCGTTTCGCTTTGTTTGTCCTTTTCGAAACGAGTCGCGCGCGTACAGTAAGTAGCAGTTACCCGGCAGTGTCGCGTAGTGATCGTTAGTAATTAGCGCGAATGATTGTAAGCTGTGTTTTTTCCTCCCGTTGTCTCGCATTCGTGTGTGTGTTCGAAACAACCGATTGCGACAGCCGTGCACTGATTGGTAAACATTTATATTTTTTTGCTTCTCGTATTCTCGGCGCAGCCATTTACTCGTAATAATTTTGCGTCATGGCGCTTTGACAAATATTAATATCGTTAACTTTAATCCTGTCGTTACAATCGCGATATCGATAATCACCACCGTCGACTCATTTGTAGAGACGTTAGAGAAATTTATTTCACGCTGTCTTTGATAGTTGTACAAGTTTAACAATTATTTGAATTTGTTTTTAGATCGAATTACGGCCTCATCTACCGCAGCCCCGTTCGACATCATTATGGTGAGTGCAAAACTGTAAAATTGCAAACCTAGAATGCTATAGTTTATTTGTGAAATTTCAATTTTTAATGGTTAGAAAGACTTGGAGAAAAATAACAGTATTAATATTGGTTCGATTATATAAAGGAAAGTCCTCTATTATGAGATAGACTCCTGATATGAGATATCGGAATTTCTGCTAAATTAATAGGCATTATCTGTTGGTTTCGCCATGAATTTATTGTCCTTAGAGTGAAATCTATTTAGTGCAAAATCGATCGTTAGATCGTGTAATAGTTGCGAAAAAAGATTTGCGATTGAATTTGGACGTTAAAAATCTGCTCTGGTCTCATATTAGAATCCTGTCTCATAATAGAGGACTTTACTTATTTAAGATGTGATGTATAAGATATTTTGAAACTTTTGTGTGAATCCTCTTATTTATGAAATTTATCATAAGAACCAATCATTATAAAATCATAATCTTTATGCAATCTATAATTTTATCATAATGATTGTAATTATACTGTAATGATGTATGCAGCAGAAGCTTGAAATGCTGTGTTGTTAACTGCTGCGAACTGTCGCGATGGATTCCCTGTTTAAAAGTTGTTTTTCTTTTTCCGTGCTTTTTATATTCCGGCTTTGTATGCATACGTGCAATTCGCTAACGATAGTTGATCCGCAACAATCATTCGGAAATACAAAAGAGTGGCCAGCACAACGACCAGGCATTTGTCTTTTTTTTATTTTTATATTCTATTGTCACAATATCGGTTTGTCTTGTCGATTATATTTGGCTATGTTTGAATAGGATATACGGAAACTTCTGGAAAACAGGAAAATATAATAACTTAGAATTCCACTTTATATTACTCTTTGAGTTTATGTTCAAAAGAATTATCCGTTAGCTAAATCCCTTTCTAAAAAAGAGATGTTGCCAGCGCGAATGTCGTTAATATCGAACAGTTGAGGCCTCTTTTCCGCGATGTCGATTGGTTTTCTCGAAGCGCGGTGTGCTTCACTTTTCTTTTAGATTCATAGCGAATGAAGATTTGCAATTAGAAATATATCATACATTTGTATACGCCAACTATTGAGGTAAAATCTCTAATCTTAGTAATTAGAATTTAAGTAACAACGATTTCTGTTTAGAAACAATTTTTTCGATTGATCAGAATTAATCGTTCATTTAATCAATACCAATAATTCCGCAGAATAATGCACAAAATGTGGTAACAGTCACGAACAAAGTAATGTAAAAGTACAGAATTTTCAATTTCGTAGACGGGACAACGAACTTTCAACGTTCGTAGTTGTTTTTCTCTCGGCGCGGTGACGTACGATGTTTTTGCGTGCCATCGTGTACTTGAAGGTCGCCGGCGCTCTCTCACTCGCTCGCCGAACGTCGAGCCGGCAGGCAGTAGCGAGAGTCGCTCCGTGCGTGTTATTACTTTTGCGTTATCGGTTTTCAAGACTCGATCGCGATGAATGCAGGGATAAATCGCTATTGATTTGCACACCTTTATCAGTAACAAGTAACGTTCCTCGATTAATTATTAAGTTTCTACAACTTGTAATGAGAGACGATTTACAAGTTGTGGCGACGGCTCTTTATCAATGTATCTCTTTATCAACTCATCTAAAATATGAACGTAAACCGTGGTACTTTGTCGCGGTTACATTTCGTTTACGACCCGCGCTTTTAATTGTCTGTCGATTTCGTGTAATCTGTTCCATTTTCGGGAAAAAAGAGAAATTTGTACGACTTCGCTCTGTCGTTCTTCGCAACTCGAACGGGCGGGAAGTAAAGAAAGTCGCTTATTGCACGTCGTTACATTATTTCTTTGCCGCAGATTATGCTTCCGATGCTCGCATTGCGTTTTATATCGCCAATTCGAAAATGATTTATCCATTATCCTATTCTTCCGAATCAAGAAGGCAAGTTGTTAGTTTGAGTAATTTGTATGACAGAAAGTCTTGGAAACCGATAACGCAAAAGTTAATAATATTTCGTGTGTTCGCGGTATTTCACATCGCGTACGGGAGTGCCGGAAATTTCGCGCGATCGATGATTTTCGCGAGTGAGTGTGAGTGCAACAAGGAAATCTGAGAGGAGGAGGAGGCCGAGGAGGCATCGGGCAACGGCGGAGAACTCGTAAGGTAAGTGTCTTACATTTTTATGTTATTTAATTGTTACTTGTGCAAAATAAAGTATCTGTTCTGTGTTTTTATTTTATTTATTCAAATTATTCGAACGAGGAGTCGAATAAGTGTTAGAGACAAAACCAATGTATAAAATTTTGTGAATTTATATTTAAAAGGAAGACTTTCTCAGTATTTTATATAATTCTCTTAATAAATACCTATTTTTAAAAATATAAAATATGAAGTATATTTAGTACAATATTTTCGATTTGACACAATTAATCTATACTAATCATATACATATTTGTCTTTTTACAGTTTAACATACATGATGTACAGTTTAACATACATGATGTACAACTTTGCGGTTGCGAATCGTATCAGTGAGTGATAAATTACTTTTTATTTTAAATTGACGTTGCGCATACAATTACTTCTTTGCATGTATAGAAATTCTTAAAAATATACAATGCTCAACTACAAACTGCGCGCGCGAAGTGCGCGTTTGGTCATCTCTAGTCTATTATAAAAATATGATAAGTAACAAAATACAAAAATATGTATGAAAAATGTAAATGTGCATAGAGTAATAAGAGAAGAGAAGAGAAAGATTTTACGGGAACATGAAAGCAAGAAAAGCGATAAAGAAAGTGGATATACTGACATAACATAAACTAAAATATAAAATTTAAAAGTATTTTAGGACACATGGAAAAGTTTACGAGTATTATTGCAAATGTTAAGTCGCTTTCCGAAAATATTGCTACGGCCGGAAAACGACTAACTATAGTTGCCATTTTAAAATTTCAAGTACAATTTCTATCTTTATTTCTAACGTGAATTATTATAGTCTTTAAAGATTGTGATTTAAAAGATGAATATTATCTATGTATAAAATGGCACACGTTGGAAATCTATTTTTCGTTAACTGCCGTTCCCGACAAATCAATATATGTATAATATTTGCCACTATTTTGCGATTCATCATGTTTGCCGTATCGAACGGATTTATCGTGAATAAGTGAAGGTTACTTAATGTTTCAACATGAAAAGATAAATTTAATCTGAGTTTAAAATTAATTGAAATCCATGTCAACATGATTTGCACGTTTCTCGCATATCTTCCATAAAAGAAGCTCGTGAACATTCTGTATACATGGCACGCATGCATTTGTACATCGCTTGCCTCATCAGCCTGATTGGCTCGTTCCAGTGCACGTTTTGATCAGAATCCGTGTGATTGTCCACTGCGAAATCCACGATGTCGATACCCGCCATTTTCGTGTTGTTCGACTTTCCACACGCGCTGTATTTGCGTGTAAATCGCAATGGGTACATTATGCTTATGCATTTGCAGTTCTCTCTCTCTCTCTCTCTCTCTCTCTCTCTCTCTCTCTCTCTCTCTCTCTTTCGCGCGCGCGCGCTTTGTTGGTAGTCTCGTGTAATAGAATATCCACGCTCTTGCTCTGGTTGGTCAGAAATAGTCGGCAATCGATAGTAACGATAGGGATAGGAAAGAGACTGCCGGGAGGATCTGTGTAATCTGATGTTGTAATCCGTTAGCTATTCTGAAAAGCTGATCACACAATAATTACGTCGCCATTTGTTGCCAGCTTTATGTGAATGCAGTTAATTACATACATACACATAGACGCGCGTGCGCGGACGTGCACGCATCTGCACTCTGCAATAATCATTTAAAATTTATAATCGTTAGTTGTAATGCACATCGTATATAATATGTTACAGAATGAAATGCATAATCGAATGCGTTGTGTAATTAAAGCGATTATTAGCGGTAGCGCCTGCTGCCGGCGGCCATGAAAGAAAATAGTTGGATATTATTCGTAACGAATTCCGTACGCATTAATACGTACAGACGTTATCCCGCTTAACCGATTAATTCGTGCAGCAACGACGGACGCTTTAATCCCGTCGGATAATGACCGCCTGTATGCGCGGCATGAACGTCTGGCGCTTAAAGCCGAGATGAAACTTCTCTGTGTAATTCCATTAATTGCGGCGTAAATGTGAGCCGCGAGAAATATCGTTACCGACCAAAATTTCTTTCGCACATAATGCATTTCACGTGTACGCGAAATGCGCGAGTTTATGTGGCTCTCAGGTAAATATTAATGCATTAAAAGTGTAGAAATATTTTCCGCAATTCGGTTGCGGAAGCATCGAAATACGAGGGGTGACGAGTATCCCCCCCCCCCTCCCTCCCCCCGAACACATTTCACTCGGAAAATAAAATTCAGAAAATAAATCGTAATTTAAAATATAAAATTTTTGCAGATGCATTAAACGCTACTGAAACATTATTCACTTTTAAAATTTAATAAAAAAAAAAAACCTTTTTTCTTGTCATATTTTCCAAAAATTAAACGGTTAATTATTTCGAATATTCTTCCATATAAAAATACGTATGATTATTTTTCATTATATTATTCGTCCCCATTGCGTTCAAGAGTAGGGTAAAGGTCAGCTATTACGGCATACGGTAAAGATGGCTACAAGCTGTAATTTCTCCAATAATTGCTAAATAGTATATTTTTATAGTTACTCTGAAAGATTATCAATACTTACAGTAGTTCATGTGCATATACTATTCAAACTAACAATATTGTGAATATTCTATCACATTTTTACTTTCGACCTGCAAAGTTTTTCATGTGTCCACTAACAGTTGCTATAACTTTAAATAAATTGCAGTTGAGTTGTCGAAATCAACGTTACACACATAAGAAAGGTTTGTAAATTGTAAATTTGACTTATAATTCGTATGGCCATCTTTTCCTTACAATTTATATAAGTTGGCCACCTTTTTACATAAGTCGGCCACACACTCTGTTCAGTCGCGGAATATTAGCT